TAACTATAAAATTATATAGTTTTATAGACAATAAAATTAACAGCCAATAAAATTAACAGCAAGAGTGGCACGTGTTAAAGAGTATTTATTACTGACAAAGGATCTACAAACTGCAGTACAGGGTTTCAGGATTAACTATCCAGCAGAAAAGCATAAAAAAGAAGTAAAAATGTAAAGCTATATTAATAGGCTGAGCTGTAAAGGGCTCAAGTCAACAACATCTGACATTGCCATTCCTATGGATAACACACTACTCTTATGGACTACTAGGCTATTTTGGAATATTTTGCTGAATTCACGCACCTATAATATTTAAATCACAATGGAATACCCATCTGTAAAAAAACTAAACCATAAAAGGGGATACAAATGAAGACTATTTTGTATCTCTCTGTTCAAAATAGTTAGGATAGATATACAGCTACTTTCTCTTATTTCAATGAACAGAAAGATTTTCACTATAGTGTTTGTGGACAGGATATCATGTCTTTATCTTATGCTAAGAATAACCACTAAGAAGACAACAATATGCAATGTATTAATTATTGAAACTGTCCTACTAACTGGTTTTGAAACTGTCTCATTGCTATTTGTTTCTCAATAAAATTACTTTAAAAAACAAAAGTATTTATTATAAGATTATTTATAGGTAGAAAAGTTGAAAACAATTTCAAGTATATAGGAAAACCATTTAATAAAAAACAGCATTTATATAATATGAATGCAATCTTGTACAGTTGCTTTGAAATACTAGCCAGAATAATTTGCTTACTGATGAAAGCCAATTTAGAAATATTCTTGAATATATAATTCCAATATTATAAAAGCAAGTAGAAAGACATCATAAGGCTATAATTTTAATGGGTAGTGAGTGGTAGCATGCTTCTTGAGCCTTTTGGTTGCAAATAATGTTTTTTCAAACAGAAGGGTTTGGCAAAACATTTTTGTTTGCAAACCACACTGAGTGACAATCATGTCTTCAGCCATCTTTCCCAAACACACACACACACACACACACACACACACGCACACGCACACGCACACGCACACACTGTAGTCATCTTTTACAAATTCATAGAACAAATTTAGTTCATGAATTAATGAGCTGCTGTATAATTTGGGACATTTTTGTACACAAATGGAGGATCTAGAAAATGGTCTTTCTCATTTATTCATCCTATTCATGTCACAGGAATGTGACTGGACTGGTGGAAATGTGCTATGATTGACTTCCTTTTTCGTTTGTATATGCTTTCCTTCGTACAAAACAGTTTTCAGTGAAATAAAAAGGCAATACTTTCAAAGCCTAAAACAAATTACGAACACAATTTTTTCAGTATCAAACATGTGTGAGTATACCAAGCGCAGATGTGGCCAATGCAGGGCAGAGAGAAGAAGATTGGCTGCATGGGAAGTGGAGTCTAAAAGCAGAGCCTCATCTAATATCTCCTTTGTGTTTCCAGTGCTCTTTTCCAGACAGCACCAAACAATCCTAGAGAACTCACACTGATGAGCCCTGCTTATGTTGTTTATACTCACACTAAAACCAAAAGTATGGATTTCCACACATCAATGAGAATCCAGTCCCTGGAGAAATTCAAAGAGTTCCCTCCCTCATTCTTATAAAAACCCGAGGAATCTATCAAGGTGACAACATATCTCCTTTCAATTTTGCTAAATAAGTTAATTAAATAATCCTGTGACATATTTTGCAGCTATTTTTGTTCCAGTGATACACAAGTATTTGTGCCAAAGTCACTTCTTAAATGCATGTCAACATCTCCCACATTAATACACCAACTTGTAATAAAAATGAATATATTTCTAACATTGAATAGAGAGGATATTATAAAAGAAAAAGAGCACAGAAAAGGGAACCAGTGAATTCTGTTGAAGAGTAGTCTTACAAACTAACAACAAGTGATGTTTCCTGAGCTGAGATGGCAGGGAGACAGAAAGAGATTTATTTATTTATTTAGGTTTTTGTTGTTCTTGGCTTTTTTTTTTCAGAACTTGGGATTTAACTCAGACTTTTGCACTTGTCAGGCAAACTCTTATTCTACTGAGACACCTCACTGTCCTTTTTTTTTTTTTTTTTTTTTTTGCAGTAAGAAGGATTGAACTCAGGACCTTGTGGTTGTCATGCAAGAGCTTATTCTACTGAGCTATCTCCCCAGCACAAGGTATTTGTCGAGAAAGACCATACAACTTACTGTGTAATTGAAGGACAAAAGAAATGGAGAGCAGAGGTGAACTGAGCCTAAGTACTAGGGAATGCAAATGACATTAACTAGATGGGACAATAGCAAAAAATGAAAACTTAGAGTCAAGGATTGTGTGTGGTAGTAAGCACCATACATTGCAGACCAAATTCTACATGCCCATTATATATTTAAGTGACAATATGAATTAGCAGTAAAATGCATAAGTTTTGAATTTAGGACAGAGTACACTTTGGAGGTTTGTAACTCAGAGGTTTCACTCTGATGATAACCGCTAAGCCCACAGACCTCAACAAGATCTCTTAGGAAGAGTGTAGCTGTGGAACAGCATTCTATGAGGTGGATAGGAGAGCAGGTCTAAACCCAAAATTAGAAAGAATTAAAAAAACAGTAAAAATTCAGAAAGATAAAATGAAAAGTCAATCCAAAAAGATAAAGTTAAAGAGGGACAAAGAAAAGAAAAAACCCATTAGTAGACCTCTGATAGAAGGCAATGGGCACCAGATGCAAAATTATAGATTTGCTGAAAGAGTTTGAAGCTGAAACTTTTATTCCCCAAAGAATCTTGAGACAAAAGCACCATTTAAGAATGGATGCTTTAGGGGTCGGGGAGATAGCTCAATAGAATAAGAACTTGCCTGGCAAGCACAGGGTCCTAAGTTCAATCCCTGGTACCAGAAAAAAAAAAAGAGTGGATGCTTGGCTTAAAGGAGCAAGATGCACAAAGCAGATAATATAAAGAAAAATGCCATTCTTTAGCAAGTGTACATGTCAGAGAAGCACTCTAGAAATGTGTTATAGTGTGGAATAGACATCAGAGACTGCACTCATGAATTAAAAACTACTGTAAGCTACTTATACATCATTAAAAGACAGTTGCACACTAGTTGGGTGTTATTTTAATCTAAACATAACTTCACTTATTCATTTATGTACAGATGGATCAAAATAAAGAATAATAGAATTTTAAGCCCTAACTGCTCCTTTCAAAAAAACAAATGAAATGGCCAGTAGAGTTATATAAATTAGTTGGGTGTTATTCACTGCTTCTATTACCTAGTACAGGCAAGTAAATTCTAGAAGATTATTTTAATTCTTTATATTTCAATGAAAAGGAAAAGGAGTGGGAGTAGTGAGTACTTCTCCACTAGGAAAAGGCTTCTAGTGTTGGATGAATTTCTCTCATATCACTTAGAGAAATATGTACAAATATAAAAACATGTGATCTAGTTAAAATTGGTCAGAACAAAGATAAGGTAAAGATGAAGGAATTATGTCATAAGGAGAAGAAGACATAGAGAAGACAAAATAAGATCTCAAAGATGCCTCAACTACTGTTGGTCAATGATATAGCATTAGACTGAGATATAGGAGAAGTAAGATACTTAAGGAATGGGATATTCAATGCACTAATAGGCTGGGATGCTGTCTCTCTTGTATTTAATTGTCAGAGGTCTAGTGTTTTCAGAGAACAGATTGAACAGAACATGGAATGATGGGAAGATTTCAATTATAAAGAAATTGGAAGATGACATGCTTGAAATTCAGGCAAGGCACCATGGAATATGCTGTGTCAGGTGGGGAAAGATATAGCATTAAAATGAGAAAGACCAGGATGACAAACAGCTACACCCCAGAAGTTTGGGACTCTTATAAGAGAAACTCAATATGAAAGTGTGGAGAAACCAGTTTCCCAACTTTCCTCCAGTTCCTTGTGATGAAGCAGAAACACCCCCCCCCAAAAAAAAATGTGTTTGCAGCAGGATTGTTGATGTTATTGACAGTTTTTTTTTTAATTTCACTCTCTGTTACTTCCATTTTAGATAATCATGTGTTATTCCCACACACTCCCTCTGCTCTGCCCTTGGAAGATTTATTTAGTATCTTAGAGACAAAATATTTCCCCATCAGTGCTTACACTGACCAAGTGATCTCTACAATTTTCCTGGAAAGAACCCTAATCATCCTTCATGGTTTAATCTAAAGATAACTTCATTTATTCATTTATGTACAGATGGATCAAAATAAAGAATAATAGAATTTTAAGCCCTAACTGCTCCTTTCAAAAAAAAAAAAAAAGAAATTGTCAGTACAGTTATATAAATTATCCTGCATATAAACCTAAATATCTTTTTGCCTACTTTTTTTATCCACTTCCTTATTCCAGTTGTTTTCTGGGTTTTTTAAACCAATTTTGCACATTCATACCTGGTAACCTAAGTAACTAATGTAAAGATAAAATGCAGAATAAATACAATAATATTCACTGTATTAATTATTGTAACTGTCCTACTTTTGAAAATGTTTCATTGCTATTTTATATTTTTGTCATTAAAATGAATAAAAAATTAAAAGAAAATTTTAAAACATAATAAAATATAAAGATGAAATGGAATACAGCAACCATTGTTGAGTTCCTATTACTTTATTTAGAGAAATTTTTTATCATTTCTAATGCTTTTTTCACTATATTGTATTCACTAAAAAGAAAAGGGAAAAAAAGAGGGATCAAGTATACTTAGATTTCACAATTTGGTCAAAATATACTATAAGATTCTGCACTTGTATTTAATTTTATCTAGCCTCAGCCTACATATTTGAATTAAATGAGCATCACAAGGTTAGACAGCAGTTTCTTGTGAGGATGAAATATTACATGTAAAAAAACTGAACAAAATAGTAGCAGATTTTAAGTGATTTTATATAACTAAGTTTTGATGTTCCACCCTCTGGACTGACACAAGAATAGAGACTTGACCCAAGGAAACAGTAGATTACCTGCACATGTAATATAAGCTTCATCCCTTGGCAGGCAAGATCTGGAGTTCCAAGGGTCAGAAGTACACTGCCAGAGAGAAACATCGGTTTTCTGACACTGGATTCCATCCACCCAATGGGATTTAGAACCTTCCCTGGCAGAAACAGAAGTGTTGAGGGTCCCAGTGTCCCCACAGCCAAGCTGTCTGCAGATCACTGACAAGGTCATGTCTTCCATGGGGCTGCGGCAGACACTGCCCCAGGTCCCATTGTAGAAAACCTCCAGCCACCCAGCACATTCCTGGTCCTCGCTCACCACCCGGAGGGCCAGGAACTCTGAAACAGAAAGGAGAAAGGACACAGGGAGAAATCAATACTTAGTGTTCTATTGTTTCTTTAAACCTAATGGTGAATGCTCACTGCTAATCTGCTTAAAAAGCTCTCACTAAGTGGAAAGAATGAAACTTCTATACTTGTTACTTGTTTTGCAGATTTAAACCTGTGATTTTTTTTCTGCCAGAATAATGTCATGAGCAATGAGTAGAAATCTTGTCCCAAGAGATCTGATGAGAGGAAAACTAAGTTTTATTTAATTAATTAACATCACACAGACCATGGGAAAAAGAATGTGGATGGTCACTGGGGAGCAGGCCAACAGGCGGAGCCCCAAAAATGTCCACTTTCTAATACTTGTAGCCTGTCAATGTTGCCTCACACAACTAAAAAGCTTTGTAATGAGGATTAAAATAAGGATGTTTTGACTTGGCAGATAGCTTGGTGGCCTAAGGAACCACCTGGCATGTACAAGGTCCCAAGTTTAATCAATGGTACAACATGCCACACTGACCCTAAAACTCAGTGGTGACACATACTTGAAACAGGTAAACTGAAGGGTATCCCTTCAGTTCCGCTAGGCTCTGTAGAAAATGAACTGCTGAGATACAGAGTTGAGAAGGAAGTAACAGATCTTTACCTGATGTAGGAGGAAGTGACAGCACCACATTTTCTCTCCTAGAAAAACAGACCCTGGCAAGGAGCACACTTTAGGCCGCAATTCCAACCTAAACCTAGGGCTCTGACACCATCCTGGATACCCTCCTTCTCCATCCAAGACTAGACTATGTGAGCAAAGACCTGAGCAGATGACTCCTGCATCCTCCTTGTGCCAGCAGTCATGTTGTCCCCAGCCTTGGGAAGGACACTTCCACACATGGGACTCTTCTCCTGTGCAGTTCAGCTCATCCAGCCAGATGTCCCCTGATCCCTGCCCAAAGTGAGCAGACACCATGGCATTGAGGGCCACTCCACAGCCCAGCTGTCTGCATACGATGTGAGCATCACTCAGGTCCCAGCTGTCATCACAGATGGTACCCCAGGAGCCCTGGTGAAGGATCTCCACTCTCCCAGCACAGCGACCGCCCCCGTCCATGAGGCGCAGTTGTCTGCTGTCTGAGGAGAGATAGAGTCAGGTCAGTGGTGCTGACATGGGAAGGAGCAGGTTCTGTCCTGGGGATGGCCTCACCTCTGGAGTTCACAGTCAGGTTGTTAGAGGTTGCAGAGCTTGCTGGGTCAGAGAGGGAGTCATTGCCTTGGGGCATCAGCTGGGTATGGTTTCCTGCAAAGAGGGTGAGAGAGCAAAAAACTGAGTTACACCAATGACAGTCTAGTACTGGCATCTGGGATGGCATCTGTGATATAGGTGCAATGATTTCCTGTTTTCAGACCTCATTTTCTGCATGGAAATTTCTGCTTCTGCCTATGTCAAACCTTTCTGTTATATAGTCACATAAGCTATCTCTATCTTACTATTGATTCAGAATTTTTTTATTATTTGCAGCAATAAAGCATAAAGAGGTAGAGAATATAACAAATTAATATTGGAAAATGTGGGCAAATGTGATTTTGAAATTATTATAAAATCAGTAGCTGACAATTTAGTTAATCAAGAAAATCCATGAAAAATAAATTTGAAAACATGTCAAAGAGAATTTTTTATTTCCAGAACATTACTGTACAAATAATGGTAGCACAAAAAACATAAAAGTGCCAGTCATGAAGGCCCATGTTGTAATTCTAGGAATCAGGAGGCTGTGACATTAGCACTACAGTGAGTTTGAGGCCAACCTAGGCTACATGCTAAGTTCAAAACCAGCCTGAACTATATATAGTGAGACCTTGACTCAAAAATAAACAAATGCTTAGCAAAAATTTGTTTATGCTAATAGCCCTGATAGTAATTAAAAGCCTAACCTATAAATAATTTCCAAATTTATATATAAGGCACATCTAATCTCAATCAAAATACTTTTTTTTGGTGTTAACTCTGAAAATATTATGCTAAATTTTATGCATAAATGCACAAAACCAGTAAAGACCAACATACTTAGCAAGAAAAGCAACAGAATTAGAGCAGCCATTTCAATTTCACTGAAGTTCCTCAAATGTACTATAATGTTATGGCGAGTGAAGGAGCATGATATTTGTTCAAGTATCAACACATGACTGAGTGACACAGAATGGAATATAAGGACAAACTCAGACTCAGGAGAGCTCAGTTTATTACACAGGTGGCCTTGTTGAGGAAAGAAGACCTCTACAGGAAATGATTCTGAGTCAACTGGGTGCAAAAAAATGATACACAACTTTTCCTCAAACCAATACATAATGCCTAATAACATTTCCAGAAAGACTGCATAAAAAGAAAATTAAGAACTACCTTTGTGGTTAGAACAGCTTTTAAGAATGTTTGTCATTTTGGGCACTTTTCTTGAACACAATGAAAGAACACAGTGTATAGGTAACAGTTCATAAATTGTGTGAAAATTGAAATTAAGAATTTGATTTGCATATCATAGTGCACATTGGTAATCCTAGCCCTCAGGACAATAAGGCAGAATTGCAAGTTAAACCCCAACATAAGCTACTAAGTGAGATCAGAGCTAGTTTGAATTACACAGTTAAAAGCAGATCTCAGAAAATAAAACAAGAAAAAAGGAATAGCAGTTTGACTTTGCCAAGAATAAAACATCAGAAGAATGAAAATAAAAAAGGTTAGTGATTAAAAATGCAAATAAGTATGTTCAGCAAAGGTCAAGGCCCAGGTAATTTATATCACTATAGTTCGTAATAGTTATAATATAAAGGCAACTCAAATCTCTGCCATCAGTTGGCAGGATCAGTTCATGTATACGTGTCCACTCTCTTGAATATCCAAGGGGAATGAAATTCTGCTGCAAGAGCACAGGGAAATTCCAAAACAGAGGTGAATTCAGTATATGAATTAATTCAATTAAATTAGAAACAAAAGGAAAATCTAATGGATCATTTTGCCATAAACATCAAATCTGAGTAAAATATTTCTGGTTAGCAGATTTTAAAATAGCTTCCTGTGCAGAAAAGGAGAGCGTTGCATGTGAGGGTGAGATGTTCAGCTGATTTCTGTGTTACTAACACTGTTTGCTGATCTTCACTGACATACTTAACAGAGTTTTACATCTACTTTTACACATTTTTCTTAAGAAATATATGGCCAAGTTGACACCTGTAATTGCAGCACACAAGAGGCAGAGGTAGGAGAATCAATATGAGTTTGAGTCCAGCCTGAACTACATAGTCAGACCTGGACTTAAAAAAATACTAAATAAATAAAAACAATAATGCCTTTAAAAATATTTCCATTAACACTCCTTTATCTGACCTGAAAGAGGAATACACATCATTCACCACTGAAAATTTCACTTTGAACACAGTTCTCCCTGTTGTCTGCTGTGAGACCTATTACTCCAGGAGCATCCTGACCCTCAGTAACCCTCATCACTCTCTCACCTGAGCAGACCACTGAGGCTGTGTTCCCATGAGCACAGGGAGAAACACCCAGGGCCATCACAGGGCAATTCCACAAGTAGAACTCTGCCCCAGAACAGTGGAAGGTGTCTCTTCCTATCTCACCACCTCCTTCCACAAAGTACGCTCCTCCTTTTGGGATGGAGATGGCAACTCCACAGCCCAGCTGGCGGCACACAACATCCGCATTGGCCATACTCCAGTGGGAAGAGCAGAGCGCTCTCCAGCCCACAGAGGTGTTCAGCTCCACCTGACCCTCACACTGGGAGGTACTGTTTTTCATGAGCCGGACTTCAGTGAACTCTGGGAGGAGAAAACAGATTTTCAGCAACATTTCTCATTCTTCCTACTCACAGGTTTTCCAAGAGGCTAAAACTCACCTGAACAAACAATTTCAACAGCTCCACCATGGTGGCAGCTGCCTCCAGTACAAGGTGCTCTGGGGCAGAACCAGAGCTTAGGCTCCTGCCCTTCGCACCTGAACTTTTCATCCCACACCTGTGGAATGACCTCTCTAAAAGGCACAGCCCTCATGACAGACACAGCTTTGCCACACTCCAGCTCTGCACAGATGACTTGGGCAGTGGCAAATGTGAAGTTCCTATCAGACACTGGAATCCAATCTCCTTCAGGATTCACTTCTACTTGCCCTGAGCAGGGTCCTTCTCCTCCAGCCAGGTGCACAAATCCTAGGGAAAAAAACAGAAAATGAAAGTCCTGATCTGGAAATAGTATCTAACATTCCAGAGGCAATGAATTAAAGGATTTTCTTTGATTTCCTCCCTAGAATACAGTGTGAGAATATTGAACATTTGGTGTAAGAATGGAACCTGCATAAATGCATGCTTAAACAAAACTTTGGAGATATTTTTAAAGTCAGTTCACAGTGGCTGAATCCTATTGTATGGTATATGATGGTATGTCTTTACATTCATTAGAACACATTATCCTACTAAAAGGATATATTTCTGCGTGGCCCTCTGCATTTCTTCACAATTTAAATTTACATACCAAAGAGATATATGAAATGGAGTGACACTCAAGGAAAAGGTAACTTAATGTGACTAAAATAGTCTGAGACTTTTAGATCATGCTTTCTATTACAGAAGATTAAAAGAAAATTTGGAACCTGGATCAGCAGTGTTTGCAACATGTTCATCTTCCTTTTCTTATTTGTTGGTCTTGTTTTGAAGGAATATTTTGTTACTAATGTATAGTTTGAGAAATTATCAGCTGGTGCAGATGACTTCTAAACAAGCAATTTCCAGTATGATTTCATAGCCCTAGGGAACCAGCTGATTACAGAAATTTTATATAGCAACATTTATACTGAGGAAGTTGGTTGTTAGGTTGGAACTCACAGTGTTTCACATGTTAGGAGAATGCTTACAATTAAGCATGTCCCAATCCTAACAAAGAATTTCACCAGAGATTTTGTTTCTAAACATGTTCAGAAAGGTTTTCTTTTCAAAGCAAACCACTAATTAACAGCATAACTATTAATATACTGTCTTAAAATGGTGACTTCACACATTCTAATTAGATGTACACTTATTTTTCTCACACACAGGTGTGGTAAATTGAAGTCTGGATTCTTATATATGTCTGTAGTTTTATTTTATTGATTTTTTTTTCTTCTGGGTCAAAACAGCTGCCATGAATGTGAGAAATTTTTTAGTGAGAAAAAATGTACTTTACTTCAATGTGTCAGATGTTTAAGTCCACTCTCAGGTTGCTCCAAAGAAGAACCCTCATAGTAAAATTAAGCTCAACTTTCAGGCTCCGAAGACACAATGTAACTGGTAAACATTCTCATTTTAATGGAAAAATAGAAGAATAGAAATAAATAGGATCAAAACAAGCAAAATCCCACAGGTCAGATATCCTACGCTGTGGTTCCATGACCAGCATCCAGGTAATATGGTGACGTGCAATGAATTTCAAATAGCTTGGGAAGCCTCACCTCTTGGTAGATGTAGGAATTCTATTTGTCCTTACTCCCATTCTTCTCAAAGAAATCCTCAAATACACTTTTCTAATAACTTTGACCCCACCAAACACAATGTCACTTTATAATTTAAGTATATTAATTTCTCATTGCATCCAGCATTGATCTGGTGGCACAGAACTCAATGTCTTTCAAAAGTTTCAATGTACAGTGTTGTTTTGAAATAACGTAGAAAATATTTTTAAATGTAATGATAAAAGGAGTACCTATGACTCTGGCTCTGTCCACATTTCTGCATCCATTCCTTTCTAGTGCAAAGAATACTAGCATCTGAATCTGCAAAGGAGACTTGTCACTTTGAAATAATCCATGAATTCTTAAGTAATTTTTGTTTAATACTATCTGTGGTGCATACTTATAGACTGCCCTAATGCAAAATGATGTGCTATGCTAATACATGATGAAACAGTCAAATTGACCAGAAAAACTATAACTACATGCACATTCCTCCCTTTGACAAACTCATGCTGGGCTGTCAGAATCTCTAGCAGAAGATCCAGTGGGAGGGACTGGCTGCCAGAACCTCCACTGGAAAGGCCCACTGTGAGACTGTGTGGCAGAAAACCCTGCACAGAAGACAGGGACAAGAGCCAGCCAGCTACACCAGGAGCAAAAGATCTAGCCAGTGGGACACAAGAGGCTGCAGCTGGGCAGGAAGAAGCCCAATACGCAAGCAGACACAAGCAATGCCCAGTTAGACAAGTTTGAACTTTGAAGATCCAGACCCCATAAGCTGAGGCACACTGCTTGACCTAGATCTATGAGAACATTCTTTCGAGAGAACGGTGGCAACAGGTAACTGGGGTGACTAGTCTGCCTGGAGTCCAGGTACATCAAGGGAAGTGACCAGATGAAAAAAGGGAACTAATTTAGATACAAATTCATAATTTATTTTCTACTGAACTATACAGTCATTGTTTGCTCTTATGTTTTAACATACAAGCCCGTTAGGTACAAAAGTTTGTCAATTGTTAAATCTCACTACCAATTATTTGTGTTGCTAATTGTAGCATAGTAAATAGAAAATTATCTTTGCCTTATCCACATGATCTCTCTTAGGTAATAATATCAGAAGATGTTTGGGTAATAACTGCACCAAAGCTTTACACCAAAGGTCAAAGGTCATTGTCAAACAGAAACTGATATCTCACTCTCAATCAAATAAGATGGCAAATCCTTGGGACACACATAAGGGAAGAATCTTTGACAAAAAAGAGATACCTAAAGAACAGGTTCTGGTCATAGTGATATAACTAAATACTATCAAACTTTCACACAAAAAATTACAGAAATCAGTATTTCTGAAATATAAAATGTCAGAGGCACAAAACATATTCTCAGGCACTGAGCACACCCAGAACAAATTCAAGTGACATTAGAATAGGAGAAATTGAAAGTCACACACCTGTTCTAAGGGAATGAACAACTGGGATGAAGAAAAGGAGAAAAGAAACAAAGAAAAGGGGGGGGGGAAGCATATATGTATACAGAGATAGCTTGGATAGTTGAACTGCTGATTTCTGCCAACTTATTGAAAGAAAGAGTTAATTCATAAATTTATTTTTCTCTCCTTTCTTGTTAATTTTTTAAAGGACATTGCATGCTTATATCTGGAAATACCTACAAAATTGATGACAAGAAGATGCAAAATAACAACCTTTGTTGAATTCCTATCATTTTAGTTAATGAAATTCTGAATTACTCCCATTTTTTTTGCTACTTTATTCTCTTTTTTAAAAATTGGTATTAGGGGGCTGGTCAAATAACTCAGCAGATGAAAGCACCTATAAGCAGGCACAGGGACTGGGAATTCAATCTCCTGGGCTGCTGCGCCAGCCCTGGCCCTGGGCTATGCTGAGAGAACGATTGAGAATGGGCTTGGTAGGCTGTAAACAGGCAAATCACTATGAGTCTGATCTAGTAGTGAGACCCTGAACACCCTGTAGACCCTTCCCTAAAATAAAAGGAAAAAAAAGGTGATTTTTAAAAAATTCCTGGAAACCACAGGTCCTGAGTTTGATCCCTGGTTAAAAAAAAAAAAAAAAAATAATAATAATAATAATTCAAAAAGAAAAGAAACCAGATAAATAAGATTTGACTATAAATGATAAAAGTAAATTAGAAAAACAAAATTGTAAAACATGGTTGGAGACCAGGATGTGTAAGGGTTAAGATGCTGGCTACAGTGTGGTCTAGATTCACAGTCTACAGGCTCAATAAGAATGCAGCTGCAAGCCAGTGAACATTGAAGGACAAAAACAAATGGTCAAACTTGGAGAACAAACTGTTCTCCTATATGCTGCCTTTGTTCTATCTTCTTTCCTGGGCTTTCCTACTCTCCACTTTCTGCAACCACCAAGTCCATGGAAACCTAATAAGTACTAGCTGTGTGAAGTACTTCCCTTTATTCCTAGAGAATTCTGGCCTTCCTGGATCCCCCAAAATCATACTGCTTGTCTTTTTTTCTTTAACACTTTTCCATAACTCCCTTTAGGATGTTGAAGGCTAGGCCAAATCCTTGATAAAACTTAATTTTGATTGGTGTGATATTAGAATAAGCTTCTTTCTTGAGTATGATCAAAGAAGAAGGAAAAAAGCAGGAGAGTTTAATAAGGGAAAATAAAGGAATTGCATCATGCTAGGATACATTGAGCAGTTTACTGACAAATCTGTCTTCTATGACCTATATGTTGCCTATTTCCAAGAAGTCATTAACTTAATTCCCTGAAAATTTCACTGCCCCCAGGCAGTAGACAACACACTGACCATACCTGTGCAGATGACTCCTGCATCATCCTGATGACTGCAGTAGGTATGGTTCCAGCCCAGGGAAGGGCAATTCCATATGTGGGACTCTTGCCCTGTGCATTCCAGACTTTGAAACCAGATGGGCCCTGATCCAGCTCCAAAGTGAGCAGACAATACAACACCCAGAGCTGATCCACAGCCCAGCTGCTTGCACACTATTTTGGCTTCATTTATGTCCCACTTATAATCACAGATGGTTCCCCAGGTGTTCTGGTAAAGGAGCTCTACTCTGCCAGAACAATGACTGTCTCCATTTATCAGGCGGAGCTGTGGGCTCTCTGAGGAAAGAGAATCATATTAATGCTTAATTTGATACAGAAAATCAGATTTTTATGATTTCTTGGCATTCACTCCATCAACTTGTAGTGCTATGTTTTTTCTGTAAAGAGATTTCTGGATAGAATATAAATATATTACACCAAATAATCTGTAAGGCTTGGATTCTGTCAGTAATGATGAGATTACTAGGGTTAAAATATAAGAGATGGAAATTGAATATGATCCAGTGAAAAGGGTCAGATTGACACTGAGCAATGTCCCAACAGAATAAGCCTGTTCATTTAAACAGTTCTGGATGAGATAGCAGAAAAATATGGTGGGAATATCTGGGTTTTTTTTTTTTTTTACCCTGAGTGGTTGACAGGTCTTTCACTGAATTCTAAGAGTCAGAAGAAGGGACTTACACTTGATTTGATTTCTTTTTCATGAACTAAACTCCACTGTTACAATAGAAGAATTAGAACCCATGAAATTATATTATTGCTTTAATCAACTGGGATGAGCTCATCAGAAGTTTCAAGGGGCAGCCAAGAATTGAGAAAAAAATCAGAATTGATCTTATTGATAATTCATTATGAGTAAGAAGAAACAATTATAAAACAATGCAGGGATCATTCAAGAATCTTTCACTTAAAAATCTAGGTTTCAGAGTCTATATCTATGTGCTTGAATAAAGATATGTTTCCCTTTGAGCAGACTGGACAGTCTCACAGATGAGATGTCACATGATGTAAACACTGGTCAGGCTCGCCCAAGAATCATGCAAAACTGCTGATTCAGACTAAACACAAATATAATCTCCTTCGATTTCTTCATCTGAGTTGTTATTATTTCAAAAATTAGTACTTTTATCTCTGAGGAAAATAAAGTATCATCTCTTCCTAAACTATTTTTGAGAATAAATAGATCATGTCCCTCTTATGAAGACATTAGAACAAAAATTTTGAACTAAGAAACTGCTTTATCATTATCATATGTTTTCTTCATGAGAAAATGAGCAGAAGGATAATTAAAGGTGGACAAGCTGGGATTATTGGTACATGACTGCATCTCATTCTTGAGAGGCTGAAGCTGGAGTCTCCAGTCATGTGTTCCAGAGCAGCCTGAACTACTTAGTGAGATCTTGTATCAAAAAAGAGTGGGGGAAAAAGACAAACAAAAAGAAACACAAGAAGAGCAAGAAAGGAGAAGCAGCAGGAAGGTGAAAATCCTTGTGAGTCTCACTTGAACAGGCAACCTCTACAGCCCCCCCATTCTGGCAGCTGCCTCCAGCACAGGGCACTCTGGGGCAGAACCAGAGCTCAGGTTCTTGCCCCCCACATTGAAACTCTTCATCCCAGACCTGCTCACTGGCACTTCTGGATACGTTCCCCTGCACAGACACAAACTTGCCACACCCCAGCTCTGCACAGATGACTTGGGCAGTAGAGAGCGTGAAGTTCACATCAGACACTGGAGTCCACCTTCCTCCAGGGTTCACTTCCACTCGCCCTGAGCAGGGTCCATCTTGTCCAGCTAGTCTCAGAAATCCTACACAAGGGAAAACAAATTCACTATATATCTATGATGCAGACTTAGATTCTTTAAAGACATGCTAGAAGTGATGGTGTGAAAGACTACCCTTTCCCAAAATTGGGCCAATGGAAGAAGTTTTGTAAACTGGTCTTAGAAAGCACTTTACATCAGATAGCATTTGGAGACAAATTCAGGAGGAATTTTCAGAGTTTGATCAGACAGTCTTTCACCTAATCATTTATATTCAAAAGTAAATTTACATATGATTTTAGAAGAACTTATTCTATTTTATATTAAAAGAACATTTATTTCTGTCTGTAACTATATGTGCAGTCTTCCTTGTTTTGTAATATCTGTCCACTGAGTGTGATCTCAAATAGGATAGATTAGACTTCATTATTCACTATCTTATCAATAGAAAATTTCAGATCCTGGTATTGATCCCTAATGAATTAATATTTAACAAATGAGAACAATTAGAGGCTCATGATACAGTGTCAGACAAAGCATCAAGTTTGTTGTGATTAAGATAACAGGGTCTAATATTTCCATTACAAAACACAGGGGCAAAATTGGGAGCTATAGTGTAGTAATTAGGAGGTATGAGAAATTTTCTTACTTTTTTTAAGGATATATTTTGTCACTCTTTAGTAGAACTTAAAGAAACAGTGAGCCATTTTTGTATAAAGAGGATCAGGAACTGATTTTACCAGTAGGCTCAGAGCCCTAGGGAGGCATCTGTCTATAGGCACATGCGCATCCATGACAAGTATACGTAGTGAAGGTGTTCAGAAGGCATTTTGTTCTAAGAGAAAAACACATTCACTATCTTTTTATTTCTAAAGTGTCATGAAAAATAGTAATTTATCTTCTGAAAGTTATTTGATTCTAATTAGACATGTCTCCATTTCTCTTTTAGGTTCATGTAGTAAATCAAAATCTGAAAATCCCAAAGTGCTTATATAAGGTTATTTGACATCATATCATCACTGGACTGCAATGATGATAATGCACCTTACCTGACAACTTAGAATGCAGATACAAAATCCTAAATATAAGTATCTAATCTTTAGGGCCTTGTCAATATAGGGAAAAGAAGTCCTACAGTGGTGCTATTAAAACCAGACTTAGAGAACATTTTGGGGCAACAACACATACAGTATTGATCATATTCCCATGCACAATCAGAGAAGACAGCTGAGTGTGAACCATGCCTGGCGATGTTATCATATCTCCTCCTTGAATGATCTGGCTATACCCAAGTCCCTCTGCACATTAGAGTTCACTCACACCACCTCTCGAAGCCACCAGTCCTGTATCCCTGAGTCAGAGCTTCTGGCTTAGATACTCAAATATGCCTTCTGTGTCACTAGTTCCTCCACATTTTGTCACTGGACCTGGCAAATTTCTATCACCCAAGAAAGCTGTGGAATCTTTTAACTAAGATCATATAGAACTGCCTATATGCTAACTTCTGAGAAAATCCATTGGGATATATGTCTGTGGCCCTTCCTAAATGAACTATTGTGATGGTTTCAGGGTCTGAGACACAGATTTACAGTTCAATATAGAACCATCACAGGGATCTTTTGAATGATTTCCATTGATGAAATTGAAAAGATATTCGAAAAAGAAATGATCACTAAGCACAGTTCTCAATTTCACAGTTGTACTTTTCACCAACCAATGAGATGAGACTAAGCCTATTATAGTAATGATGGTGAACATTTTAAAGATGGGTGCCTAGAATGCAACCCAAACCAATTAATTTATCACAAAGTGATAACACTGCAATTAAACCTGAACACTGGGGTATTTGTTTGTAAACTACAATACATGCATAAGCGTCTTTTAAGTAAAAGAAAACAAATAACATGTATGCCATAGGTTAAGCACCAGTGTCCTATACTTGAGAAGAGTTAAAATGTAGGGAATCTTTTCTAGCAATGTTGGAAGTGCTTTCAATGAGGAATATTTTATCCACAGCTCTGTGAGTCAAGGAACTCTAAATATTTGTGTCTGAATCTTCAATAAGACTTAGAACTTTACATAAATTCCTCAGTGATTTGTTTAACAATGTCCCCTGTGCCTGTGTACCAGTTGTGCAAAATAATACCCCATAGTATACATACAGAAACACCAAGGTAAACACAGCTTCACTTTTTGGTTCCTTCCACAAAGTTTGAAAGTGTGTGTGTGTGTGTGTGTGTGTGTGTGTGTGTGTGTGTGTGATTGTGTGTGGACTTGAAATGTTTTATAATCAAATTATGAAAGCTGGATTTTAGTTGGCATGGTAGAATAATATATTATTCTTTTAGGAAAAACCACAGGAAAGATAGTTACTGATTAAACTCCTAAACCTAAGTGAAATCTGTCAAAATCAGCTGCTATAAGCAGTCTGTGGATATATCTCATAGTTTTCTAGTACCTGCCCACTTTCTATATCCAAGAGATCACAGCAAAATTCTCTGAATTTTCTATTAACCCAGGCAGTATTAAATTCACTGACTAGGGGCTGGTGAGATGGCTCAGTGGTCTAAAGCACCTACTTAGAACAAGCTAAAGTAAGCAAAGCCCAGGGACCACGGTTCAATCCCCCAGGACCACATGCCAGCCAGCCCCGCCCCCTGATGGGCTGAGCTGGATACACACACACACACACACACACACACACACACACAAATAAATAAAAATTAAAAAATAAATAAATAAATAAATTCACTGACTATACCTGTGCAGCTGACTACTGCATCCAATCCATGACTGCAGTTATGTGGGCCCCATCCCCAGGAAGGACACTTCCATACATGGGACTCATTTCCAGTGCAATTCAGGCCACCAAGCCAAATGGGCCCTGTTCCGAATCCAAAATAATAGCCGAAGGTATGATAAATGCTCAGTCCACAGTCAAGCTGTCTGCATACCACACTTGCTACATTCCCATTGTTGTTACAAATGGTGCCCCAGGTGCCCTGGTAAAGAATCTCAACTCTTCCAAAACATCGATTATTTCCATCTTTCAGGTGAATCTGGGGGATGTCTGAGGAGAGACAATGAAGTCAGCGGTTACTTTTATGCAGAGAATGAAAAAAGTTTTCTTCTCTTGTGAAATATCCTCAATTGAGAAATTGACAAAATTCTGTTTTCAGGCTGCAGAACCAGCTGGGTCATTTATAGAATCACTGATTCAGAACAGCAAGGAGAATCTGATTCCTCCTAAAAAATAGCAAAAGCATTAGTAGAATCAGAAAACAAGAAATGAAATAAAATTGAAAATTACCTAGTGACTAGTCCCATCTGGAAGCTCATACATCCATGCTTCAGAATTAGCCTTCTGGCATTTTCTGGTAAAGATTGTAGGAATATTCTCTGGAATTGTGAAAGCCCCTGTACTGAGTGATTCAACAGGGTATCACTATTGGTGATTATATAACTCATTGAATGACTTATACAATCACTATAAAAAATCAGCATCTGGGCTGATTTCATGTACACTACCAAAAATTAGTTTCACTGATTTAAGAGCTAAGAGAATTGGAGCATAGGAAATAAAAAGATTGGAGTATGTTGTTACTGTTTTTATTGTTCTTGTTGTGGTTTTTCTTAACTTTTAAATCATTTTATTTCGTTTTTTATTAATTTTATTCAGAAACAAATAGCAATCAGACAAATTCAAAACAGATTAGTAGAACAGTTTCAATAATTTATACATTGTATATTGTTGTCTTCATTGTTATTATTCATAGAACAAGGTGCAGACATGATATCCTGTCCAAACACTACTAGTACAAATTTTTCTTCTCATTGAATGAAAAGAGCATAGCTGTATATCTCTCCTAACTTATTTGTATATACCAAAAAATAATTTGTCCATTTTTATCCCCCTTTCTACTTTAGTTTGGTCATAAATGGGTATTTCCTTGCTATTTATATATTATAGGTGCGTGAACTCATCAAAATAATCCAACATAATCCATTAGTCATTAATAGTATTGGGTTATGCTTTGAATGGCAATGTCAGAAGTTGTTGATTTGAGCCTTTTAAAGCTCAGCAACTTCATATGGCTTTACTTTTTATACCTCATTTTTATATGTTTCTGCTGGATGATTAAGACTAAGATACAGCAAGACCTATACAACAAGAAACATAACTTTTGTACCTGCCAAGGTCAGTCAAATCCACTCAGGATTTACCCTGAAACCCTGTACTTCACTTTAGATCTTTTGTCAGTGTGAGCGATGTAGATGAATCACAGCCATTGTTTGAACAATTTGCTCTCTGTGAAAGCCTTTGAGAATGTTTTCTCTCTAGGTGACTCTCCTTGGGCACACTCTACGTAACTGATCACTTTCCTCTGTGGCTTCATGATCTCCTTAATTAGAAAATTTGTGACATCACTGAGTTCCAGGATGTTACAGTACAGGATCTCTTATGTCCTGAGTCCTCACTGACCTTGAAATGCAAGGGCCAAAATGCTGGCTGTCCTTCCAACCCATTTTTTCCTCTAATTTTTGATCTGCAAACTTAAGTTGTTAACCCTCCAGAAAAGAAGATTAATGATATTATTGCCATATAACATAGACAGTTGAGCTTAACCTCACTATCTGTTTGAATATCAAACATCTTAGACATAACATCAACAGGTATTTTCCATCAAGTATTGATATGTTAACCTTTAAATCCCTACATATATGAACAAAAAAATGAAAAAATTAAAAAATAGCAATAAACAATTATATATATTTCCATAGACATTTGGAAATCTAACCATACATAACATTCTGCCA